AGAGAGAGAGAGAGAGAGAGAGAAAGAGAGAGAAAGAGAGCGCATTCCGAATACGCGAGCTTTTCGCGAGGTTTCGACGCTTGTCGGTCCATAAAATCGAAGTATCGATCGCACTCATACAAAAGACTATGCTCTTCGATCCACGATTTTATCGGATTCGCTGACATGCTCGGATGAAACTCAGCGAATAGAAGGAATGTTTACGACTGTTAACCCTCGAACGGCATGTGGGGGCATATGTAGATCTACGAAAATGGCTTCGTATTTATTCTCTCTTTTTCTTTAAAGGAGATTGATTTTAATAAGAGCATTTTCTTTTTTAATCCAGCATTTTCTTTTTTTAGATTTAGATACATTTGTGATCTGTGAGCTGATTAAAAGATAAGAGTATTAAAACGCGGGTTTTTTTGTTAAAATTATCTTAAAATTTTTCAAAATACTTTCCCAATACATGCAACAATGGCAGTGGCAATGCTTATTTAAATTGCAAAAATGGCAGTTTTCTTACCAAGATTATTGTATAATCACGATAGATTTCAGCTATACATTTTTTTTATTTGTAGGAGAAAGAAATAAAGAAATATTTGAGAAATGTGGAAAACCGAAGAATGTTAGAATATTTTGAATTGAAATGGCAGTGTTCGAGATATAAATTTTGCAAGTTCGTATATTTAATCGATGACAAACAAAGAAAATAAATCATAAATTTCCTATGAAATATTGTTTTGAGCTTTGCTTCATCCGTAAAAATAAGATTCAACAATACACGAAGAGAGATAAAGTTTCCTCGAAGAATCCAGTAAAGGATTCTACGGCGAGACGCAAATTTGCGGGATCCAAGTGGGATTTCGAGGACATTCTTCGGTTGAAGTCTCGCACGTCTTTGAATTTTGGTGCTCGACAGACTGTAAAATTGAAATATCGATCTGTGCTATCAAAATACCTTCGTAGGTAAATTTTGCAGTTTTTTATTGTCTATATTAAAATCTTTTTTCCTTTCCAATCACAGAATTTTGAAAAGATTATTCTTGTTTATTAAATTCTTATTTATTCAAATTAATTAATTATTAATTGAATATAAATTCAATTATTAATTGAAACGCTAGTTTTGAATTTATATGGTATTAATTATATAATTTTTTTAACGAGAATATAAGTAAATTATTATTATTAAATATATGTGATAAATTTTATATATGGGTAACGAAGTTTTCATTGAGAAATTCCAATTTTATCACAAAAATACAAAAATTTTCACACAAAAATTTTTAAGAGAGTAGCTGTCGAAATGAAAATCATTTACCGCGTTTAAGTTTACTAGAAATTTATTGAAGTCTTTCTAAAGAATGCGAAGGAAGGAATCTAACCGGCAAAGAGGATTCTCGAATCTGCCTCCGGCTTTCGCGATTCGACGGGTCGTAAAATTGGGATATCGATCGACGGACAAAGAAAATTCTTACTACTGTCGATTTAGGCATTCACTTGAGACCAGCTGCGTTTTGCGACACCAATAACGTTAAGCAAATATAGATAACTTTCGATGGTGTAACTTATGCTCGCGATGGATCGATACTGTTTAAACAATATTATATAATTTTATTGACATGATTCGAATATCATTCTGGAGAATTATTACGTTCGAATTATTTCCAAGTAAAAATTAATAAAATATCCATGCGGAATTATTCGTTGGAAATAAAGGATAATGTTTATACAGGAGGAAACAATATCGTGTGTGCAATTAAATTAATTTAATTAGGAAAATAAATTTTACGGTAATATAACACTTAATATTTGCTTTGATATACATGTGTATATAAATTGTGTAAATCATCATGAGAGTATATAAATTGCTTAATTGGAGAAATTAACCGTAGCGATATCGAATTAGTAGCAAATTTTCCCTGATATGTCTAAATTGTAAAATTGTAAAAAAATAATAATTGCATAAATGCGATAATGGCTATGAAATTAAATGATGCTTTAATCGAAATCCGAACGTTTCGAACTGCTTTTATTTCAAACTTGAGCTGTATTGACAAGTGGTTTGTCATTAACAAAGTGTCGTACGAGTGCGCGATAAATCTATATATACTTATTTTATCTTCAATATATCTTTACTTGATTTATTTGAAAGAACTGTTGGATGCAAACTTCTCGCATGAATTTTATAAATCTATAAAATTAGTTTATCGCGAATATGTTAAGAAATAAAAAAAACATCTTCGAAAAATGTGCTTTTCCCCCATTTTAAAATTATATACATATACATTTTTCGAAAATGTTTTTTATATTTTCTCATGTCATGAGAATGCTGTGTGTCATCATCTTTTATGATTCTTTTGTCGCACGTATAAATACATCCGATATGCGGAAAAAATAATATGCGAGAGGAAAGTATTGTTGGTACTTTCATCGGGAATGGGCTTTGGATAGATGCGCCGAAATGTTTTACGGATGGATACCACATAAATGTTACGCATACAGGTACAATGATTCTGTTGAATATAACGTCGGAAGCGATGTTTATGCGCACGGTAGAGCGTGTCTCTCTCTCGCGAACTCTCATAAATTATTACAGCCAATAAATAACGCTCGGGTCGATGAGCGATAGCGATCAAAAGGAAACCGTCTCGTGATATATGCGTATTCTGCGCACCCTGCGGGGGTTAGTGGCTCCTTCCATCTCTTAATCCAGCCGTCCGTGCACGCATCGTTACGTGTATGTGCGATGTGTCGTGTATGTTAAGCACGTGTTAACGTGTATGTCGGTGTTGTGATATGTGCGGCGAGGCCAGTCGCGTTAATTCTCAAGTTTTCACTCGTACACGCGCTTCAGCATCTATTTATTTCCATTAAATACTCGCTCTCTTCGAAAGTCGGCCATTTTTGGTATTCCCGATATCATTTATAATATAACAATTTTTGCATTTATCAAATAAACATGGCCAACAAACGGAATTGATTCAATAATTTAAGAATTAAATTTTCACTTTCTACTTATTTTATCATTGAACTTTTTACGAATTTAGAGAATGAATCAATCGTGATATAATTCTATAAATTTGATGAAAAAAAAAGTTATTCACAGCGAGATAAAGAATTTATATAGTCGACACTTTCCAGAAGCAAGAGAGACAAATCAAAGATGGAAGTGACCACTTTGGAAGACAGACGAGTCATATCTTAGACACTATAATATCACACCTACTTTCATTCTTGAAGTCAAACTTCGCGTCTCCGCCTGGATCACACATAATGTTTCTCCCTGTTCGTCCTGTTGCATTTTTTCTCCTTCGCTTCTTCGCGCGAACTTTGTTTCACATTCTGTGTCCTGCACTTGCTCTCTCACTCGCATTCTCTTACTTTCCTGTCACGCTTGCTCTTCTTTTTATAGCGTCTTCTCTAAAGGGCGGTCGAATGGACCGCCTCTCTCGCAGAATTCTCTCTTAGGATTTTCTTCTTTTCTTCATGTTCGTACGCCCGTGCTCGCTTCTCGCGACCAAACGCTTTGTGCCGTCAGCGACGAAACACATGAAACTGCAACGGTCGAGCTAGATCCGGCGAAGTGAAAATCCGTCGGATTCGTCGGACGATCGTACGTGACGCGTTCAGAGATCGTCGAATATTTCGCGCAATTGGGTATCCAAGGAAAATGTTATGCAATTTTATGATCGTATAAAAATATTGTTCTTTCGAAATAACAATTACGCATATTAAAAAATAACTTTATTCGCAAATGGAAAATATAATATATGCGTGGGTGATTACATTTTTAAAAAAGTTCCGAAAAGAAAAATTCCACTGACTTGTTAATTAAAAGTTTTTCGCTGAATGAATTTTGCGCCGTTAAAATATTGATGTACTAATTTTAAATTCGACATTATATGTTTTCATTATGGCAGAGCTACAGTTGAATTTTCGTTGCTATTGAATCATTATTCACGTCGTAGCAATGGCGTACAAATTGTTTTCGTCGAAATAATCGAGAATTTAAACTTTTACATGATCCCGTATAACGGAGAGAGGTTCTTTTTCGATAAAATTATTCGTATCTCTATAAATGCAACCGCGCGCTCGCGAGATATCCGAATTATTAATCTTGTTTTTGTTTGTACCTCAGCGTAGTGAATCCATTTATTGATTTATACGTAATTCGCAGGCGTGTTTCGTAATTGCGTGGCGACTTATATGCGTTTCGGTAGTTAATCTCACGCGTGTCGTAAAACGGAATTTGCACGCGTTGCACCAGAATTTATATCTCCGCGGTACAACGTGCATGCTATATGAAGTACGTACAGTTAGTTCTATCTAAACCCCATGACGGTAATTGTCGGAGTAAAGTAGAATGAACTCTATTATGAAAATGGAGTAAAATGCGAATTAAAAATGACTTTCCAAATTTGCGCATTAAATTTTATTTATAAGTCTCGAGAATTTAAAACTTCCTGACAAATATAAGAGAAATTAAGAATTATATAAATCTGAAAACTTAAATTGTCGAGGTATCATTGCTCATTATTATTATTCGATAACTTTGCGCTCGCTCTATCTGACTCGCGACATTTACTATTAGCAGTAAAACTTAAAACTCAAATGAAAAGTTAATGACGACTGTGAGCCGTAATCAAAGAGAACTTTAAAGAGTCTTCCAGATCTGGAACTCGTTAAAAGGATTGGGAGTTAAATATGATAAGGAGAAATCGAAGAGAGAGGAACCGCCGAGGAAAATTATGGGGTAACTTTTGGTTGAGCGACCTAATGGGAAATACTGAGCTAGGAAGTCGCTTAAAATATGTAAGGATGCTCATGCAACAAATTTTCTTTCTTTAAAATTTACGTCGCAGTTATATCCGCATAATCTCCCGATTTTTCTTACGAATCGATATAAATCAAATAAAACAATAATTAATATAAAATAAGATAATAATAATTAATGTGTAGTAATATTTTTAAACTAATTAAATAATTAATAGAAATTTATTCTTCTATTACGATCGCCTTATCTCAACGAGATTTTCATCTTCCATGTATTTTGTCTAAAGAATTTATCAATTATAGTGAATCGTCGCAGGGCACATCTGTTTAGATCGAGAGCGAGCCGGTCGATCGATTAATCGCCGATCAATCGCCGAGTGTATCATCGCTTAATAACTAAGCCTAATTTTTATATACGTAAGGATCGGACAACTGACACTGAATCTGTCGCGCGTTCCTGAAGCGATCGCGCGCGCGCTGTAACGTGTGATTTCCGTTCGTGGAGGCCGACTCACGCGAGAAGAAAACCGGTAGGTCACGTCGTGAGCAGAACGAGGGCGAGGATCGCCGTCAGCAATTTAGCTAGAAGATCGGTGCGGATGCTGCGCGCGGCCGCATGCATATCACCTGCGCTGAGCCTCTGATTGTTTACGTATGCCATATGCACCATGCGCTCGGTCTCGTACTTGCGTGAGCCCACCTCGGCGATGCATTTGATCTTCACTAGTTTGCCGTCGCCTTTGAAGTGTCGTTGTTCGGTCTCCAAACTTAGCCCCAGAGTGTTCGGGATTGCCCCGCTGTTTGTGGGTGCCATCGGTGCATACTGGATAGTGTTCTCCAATGGTACCTGTAAATGAATACAAAAAAGACTTAGTGGTGAATTATCAAAATTGGCGATTTATCAAAATTAGACTACTCGAAAAAACTTGAAACTTTTTCTCTGTGCAAATAACGCAGGTAGATGATTTTGAATAATTAAAAAACAATTGAACGTTCTTGGGTAACAGGGATATTAATTTCACGAAAGTAATCATCAGGGTGTAAAGCTATTTCGATAAGAATCTGATCAAGTTTATTTAGCAAAAATGGTTATATTTATTGCTAGAGAATCTAGCTAGTTCACCATTATAGCTGATTGTAATCTAGTTTTGTCCACCATTAAAATATGATTATAATCGAAGCAGTGTTATCAGTTTCGGATTAGATAATCCGATAATCATTTAATTATAGCACATAGATAATTCAGATTAAATAATCCGATAATCATTTAACTATATAACACATGGATTAACATATATTATCTTTCTATATGGATTAACATATATTATCTTTCTATATATATTCTCTCTATTATATTATTTTTTTTATCTATAAATTATTCATTATAAAAGAAAATATAATTTTAGAATAAAAAAATCCTTAATAATATTAATTTATATAGCGAAAAATTTTTCTACATACTTAGCCATATAATTATATTGAGAAGAAAGAGATTAAAAATTAATTCGGGAATTGTTACAATCCGTTTTAATTATTCTCTCTTACGTATTTGCGCGATTTTTCGATAGCTTTCAATTCAAATATTCTCTTGTTATATATTAGAGGTCGCTTTATGTGTCATTAAATATACACGCGTGTTGGTAACAAGAGAAAAATTTTGTTAAAAGTCGACACACAGCGAATCGTTTGTTACGTGTCGGATTACAAGAAAAGAAAAGCCGCGACTGTACGCGAGTGAGAAACGAGTTTGTTGAAATTTTTGTCTCGCTATTAAAGGCGAGTCTCAGGTGGAGACGGTGAGAAAAATCGAGCCACGTCCGCTTTAATTTCTGACGGTGGGAATAAAATTCGCGTGTCAGATCATTTCTCGTTCCGCTAACCGAATTTTTTCGGCCATTATTTGCGACTTCCTATTTTACACGGCGCATTGTTCCTCGCAGCGGACCGTCAACCATTGTGTGCGATGCGAAAAAAATGATTGTTCGAAAATTTCGTTTTTGTTTCGCGTTTTCCGACATGCGTAGTGTCGCAGAAAATCTCATACCTTAATTTTGTAGCAATTAACGTCGAGTAATTGGATTCTGGATCAAGACTCTAAAAGACACAAAGTTTCTTATTCATCTATAATGAGTAATAAAAGTTCTCTCCTCCTTTCTTATTAACCAATTAAAATACCCCCCTACTTGTGATTTTCTTTCAACTCGGTTGATGAACAAATTTTCGTAATAATTCTAGAAGGCTTATCGCAGTTCATTGTTCCAATATAGCGGACAATATTTGTTTAAAGAGGGGAGTTTCGGGAGAACTGTGGACAGATCATAGGATCCTTCGAATAACGCGGGTCGTGCATACATATGCAGCGGACGATCAGCGGGCGTTTGGCTTTAAGCGTTCGACGTTAACCATAAGCCGTACTACGAGTCATGTAACTAATCGAACTAGCACACTGGACCGAGCCAAACTATCCTCGCTTTGTGGCGAGGATCGCCGACTCCGAAGTTAAAGCCCCAGTCCATGGAGAACTACTATAGGTAGATAATGCTCGGGTTTGAACCATCTTACTTACCAATAACTTCCGCATACTGAAGTCGAGAATAATGGACGCCGCGTGACTCAAAATTTCCGTATGATGCGGACGGTTGCTGAGCAAACAATCGCGTCACATTATTACCCCGTAAGTAGAATGAAAGAAAATTATATCTGACGATATTTTTAAAATAGAAATATTACGTACGCCATCGAGATTGATAGTAACGGAAAGAAAAAAAATTGTGGAAATATGCCGAACTGCAAAAGCCACTACTGTTTTTTGCCCTCGTTTCCCCCAAATGGTGTCAGCGTTAGATGCACTTTACCGCTCGCATTCATACCGGTCGTTTTGGGTTTATTGATGCATTACAGCGTTTTGTATTTTGCATTTTGCGCAACATGGTGCATCCGTGAGTCTAATGCGTGAGATACAGTGAGAATTTTAACAAATGCATGGCAAAGCTGGTTCAATCAAATTTATTAGCCAGTATCCTTTTGATTTATTCGTTATTACGTTTTATTTTATTGTATCTGGCTCTGGCTTTTTGAAAGAAAAATGCATTGTTCGCAAAATTTCACGAACAACTATACATATATATCTAGAATATAATTACAATGTGTAACATGTAATTATTAAAAAAACACGATAGTGTCTCACGCCAAGTTCACGCGCAGCAGGTATCCCGTATATCTATACGTGAATCGGACACTTGAGAGTCAGATTATCTCAATATTGGATCGAATTTTTACTAGGCTTAAAATAGATTCGAGAATTTTATTCAGCTTAGGAGCTTCACAAATTTTTCTAATTAATTAAATTAATTAATTTTTTTATTTTTTGTTTTATATTAATTTTCAGTTTTTAATTTTTAAATAAATTTTTGTTTTTTTAATATTATTATTTTTGCAAATTAAAACAATTATTTTGCATAATAGTGTTTTCAATTAAAATATTAGTACTTAAATTTGTACATGTTTTTATTCTTAATGAGCGCAATTTTTTATATCACTATTTTTGTAGATAATACACACAACATTTTTACACAATTGGTGCGTAAATTGGTACATCGCACAATTGTCGCCCTTTTTTTTACTTTTTTTTAAAAGAGTAAATTTTTAATGATTATAAATTTTATCTCTATGAGTTATTTTTCTCATAGTGCATTCATATTTTAGAAGTACAATAGTAATTTGTAAATATTCGTCAGCTTTTTAATAAATTAAACATAATCATACTAAACTAATAATGAACAGATTAATTATTATAAGCGCATTCTGATTATACCTGTACATTATTTACAATTTCCATTTTGTTTTATACGTAAAAGTTATCTTTTTTAGCGCTAATTACCGCGTTAAATATAGTATCGTTTAATTAAATTCGCATCTGGAGCGCGTTAAAATTTCACCGACATAATTTACGCGCGCGACGTATCGCGGAAAAGTGTGCCGCGCTAATTACCCTGATCCTTTCGTCGCGGAAACCGGGCTTAATTTCGGAAGGATGCGATTATTTCCGCGAATCGCATCGCCGACTCCGATTATCGGACGCTCGAACTTCCGCGCTCGAACGAAGACGCCAATAATGTAATTGGCAATAGATCTCGGCGGGACGCGGTGGCGCGGCGGCCTCCATAAACCTTCAGAAGGCATTTATATTATCGGCGACGGCGGTTAATCGTCGGGGTATGCTGGCTAGCGATATTTCAAGGCCGTTGTCGAGGCCGCATCGGCGACGATTGGCCGATGTCATATCGGCGTGATTTATGCACGTCCGTACGGATATACCGGAAGATCATTGTTCGTCGTTTGGTCCGGCGCGTTCGCGCATTGTGCTCTGTCTTTTCATCCCGCGAACAGTTCGCAACCCCCCCCCCCCCTCCCGCACGAACAATGTTTGTCGCGGGCCCGCGGGCCCGACCGTAAGGGCGATTTGCCCGCAATTTCTGAAGGATCCATTGTTCGATCTATCGCCGATCGTGACCGGAATCTCTCGCGGGCGGGCGCGTTCGCGACAATGGGAAACGATTGGGAAATCGTACGTGTGTGTAATATGCATTTCTCGCGTGTCGCGAGGAAACACTTTCTCGCATACCGAGGATTTCCAGATCGTGATTTCCCAGGTGCGACGTATCCGAAATTATCATATATAATAGGGAGAAAAGGGGTAATTTTTTTTTAATATAGGTTTTAATATAGATTTCATCGTCATATATTTCATATATATATATACAGAAATTGTATAATTAATATTTCTTTTTTTATTACTAATTTCTATTAGATTTTTCAAACTATATATCAAACATCGTGATTAAATATCAAAATTAAATATATCGTCACAATAAGTATCATCTTTTCAATTGGAGAACAATTCAGTACGGTTAATTATAAATAGGGCGAAACAATATTTTATTATTAGAAATATTTTATATACACGATCATATACACATTACCAAATACTACATGTGACGGTAAAAGAAAAATGTAATTTATTCCAATCTCGTTTGTTCGTATTTCTCGCTAGTGTAAACGGCAACTTTCAGTAACAATAAAAGTACACGAGAATAATGAAGCCTGCGGTACTATGTACGCGTGTAATTATATTTTTTGAAATAATTCCTTCTACTCGCCGGCTGGTTAAGAAAAAGTGTAAATCCTCATTTCCGACGCCAACATTGGTACGCATATTGCACGTGTAAGCACGTATATTTTTTTAAACAAAGTTTCTTTTGCAAATTATATCTAGAGAAATATTTCGCAGTTTAATTATGTACCGTAATTCAGTAACAAAAATTGTGAAATGTTACAACGATGTATGAAATGTAACTCTCTCTCTCTCTCTCTCTCTCTTTCTCTCTGAAAACATTTAGTGTTTAGAAATTATCTTAAATGAAATTAACCATTTTCTCGTTGCTCCTTTAATCTTACTTTTTATTTACGGAATTACGTTTGTGTAATCTTTATAAAATAATATTAGCATAAACTTCTCACTTCTCGTAAACGAAGATTTCCCGTCATATCACTTTACAAGGCTCTGCCTTGGCGTTTACCTCGCGAGGCCCCAAGAAAATAATATAACTCTACCGTGACATTGTTTCGGACGGCTTACATGATACGAGGAAGACAAAGGTAGAATTTAAAACAATGGTGGAAAAGGCTGCACCTTGGGATACAGCTTGGCGCTCATGGCCGACGTTAAAACAACGTTTCCGTAATATCTGCTTTAACGGCGCCTCGGGGTTACATTGCATGAATTGTAATGGTGCACGGTTTTCTTTCGGTTGCTTTGTGTGCTCGTGTTTCTTAATGCCAACGTGG